TGTGTAAGTCTGAGGTATAGGTGGCCAGGTCAATTATGATAGTGTTAATGTGTGATAAAACGAGGGATACAAAGTGAAGTTTAGAATAGTATCTCCTACTTCAAGGACCTTCAATAAGGAGAGAGGATAAGGACCGATGATACTATACAACGACTCTTGAGGAGATGATTTCCCCCAACATTCTTAGGTTGCCTGTAGTCCTAGCTTGCTCAAAATAATTAACCTGTGGACTACACTACCTTGCAAAGTATTTACAAAAATGAAATTTCTTTTGCCCGTAAAAGTAAGTTCTACAAGCCTGAAAACATAATTAAAAATGAAAATTTATAAAGGTCTATTGTTAATCACTTGGATCAAGGTTAAGACTGCCCTCCGGAGATTATTGGGTTGGTAGTTCTTACTCAAGGTTTGGAAGCACACATTTCAACTCTGAGCCCCCACCTTTACAAATGTCTTACACTTAGTTCTGATCTTTTATATGTGACTATAGGTTTTCTTTTACTTGCTCGTGTTTTATTACAACTCGTTTCTTGACTTTTCTCGTAACAGATGCTCCTGTTTACTTTTTTGTAATTTATTTAAATTCCTACAAATTATATCATGTTTTGTGATGCTAATCATGCAACAATAGTAGAGGCCCAGGTACACATTTATATTTTATACATTTGCAAGTTTATTTATTTACCTTACAATACTTTCTAGCTGCATTTGATTACTTTACATGCAAAACTAAACTAAAAATGAAAAGTACAAAAACATTTTTTCAAAATTAAGTTTACCTTTTCAAGACAACAAACAACTTAATACATTCTTTTTAATTTACAAGAGTCTCTCGGATGAGATAACCTACAGTTGCTAACGAGTTCTCCCTAGTTTAAATGAGCTTACTAACTCTTTTAGACTAAGTGAATTCAAGAGAAAATAGTAGAAAATAGTGGTACCATAATGAGGGAACCGTGGGATCCTAACCGGCGTCACTCTAATCAACTTTAAGCACATCCTAACCGGTGTCGCTCTAATCAACTTTAAGCCACTCCATAATACTTGAACAACAACAGAACTTTTCACTTAAACTGTTAAACTTTAAACCTTAAATCTTAAACATGGAACCAAGAGCTATCACTTCGACGAGGGGCTTGAAGCTAACTCTGTGGGTAACATGACAAGAATGTATAAAAGAGCAACTTCTACAACAACAAATCAAATCTACAACAGTAAATAAAGAGCAACTTCTACAACAACAAATCAAATCTACAATAGTAAATATTTCCTTAGAATTAAATAACAAGTCATAGGACTTTGAGGTAGTCCGTCTCGTACGACATAAATCCTCACTTCATCTTTAGGCTTTTGTACAATCATGTTGCCCAATATAAGACCTAACTCGCTTTAGGATCCGAGGTTGTCGTTCGTCACGAGAGGTTGTCGTTCGTCGATCTGAGGTTGTCGTTCGTCACAACATAAACCCTCCTATCTTTCAGGCTATTTGTATGATCGTGTCATGCAAATGTAAGCCTTAAATAATAATAATTAATAGGATGAAACATATCATATTTCTTCAAAATTGAAGCCAAACCATAGGTTACCTTGGGAAGTCGCTGAGGTTGTCTTCAGTATCCGTGACATCTCCTAGTCTTCTCCCTTTGGATTCTATAATAAATGTTCTAAACTTTATCTTTTCCCATTTGATACTCCATTGTCCAACCTTGAAAGTCCTAATCTTTAAAATTCTTGAAGATAATATTTTCTGATCTAAATCAAAATTTTTCTTAGGTGACCTCAGTCATTTAAGATGTAATTAACTATAGGGGCTTGCCCTTAGGAAGCTTTAGAACCCAGCTTAATATAAACCCTGTCTAATTAGATCAAAGAAAATTTGTCAGTCAACATAAAGATTTAACAGACTAAAATGGATGTCATAAATTCCTTAGTTTATTTAATCAAGCCTCAATATCAAGTATTGTGTTTGTTTCCTAAGATAGGTACATCACTTGCATTGTTGTGCTTGTTTAATTAAACTATTGTGTATATGAGATCGGTTTAGCTTTGTACTTTCAAAAATTAAAATATTACTTTTTAAATATATATATATATATATATATATATTAAATTAAAATGTATCTTCTCATGTTGGCGATCGACAATGAGTTCTTCTGATGAAATTTAATAAAAAAGATACACAAATTTTAGATTAATTGTTACTACTACTATTGTTTATTTTTTACTTTTATTATTCTGGGGCATAGATCTTCACTCTCATTTTTTCTGTTTTTAAACAAAGCAACTACTTGTGTTGTAACTTCACTGCACTATTTCTTTCCACTTATGATCATGTTTTCTGCTAGTACTAATTTTTTTTAATGTCAGTCATTTGTTTGCATATAACTATAGGTGGTGCAGGCAATCAATCATCTCATAGACCCCATATTCTGGGGACCATTGAGGCCACCTACCATAGCAGGAAGAGGAGGTCCTTTACTCATGTCGATGCTTGCACTACTATTACACCTCTTAGAAAACACCTCCCCCACTTGCTGCTGCGACACCTTCTGCGACACTTCCTCTCCCATCGGCTACTACTACATCTCCCGTGACACTTCCTCCTGCATCCTTTGCTGCCACCCCTCCTATGGAACTTGCTCCTGCATTCAATGTTGCCCCTTTTTCTGTGACGTCTACTACTTCCCCACCCAGTTCCCCACCTATTACTAACATAGCTCTTGAGCCTAGCTCGTCAACTCCTACATTCCCCTCCCATAGGCACATTTACTGCTAGAGGAGGACTCATAAGTTATTTTTAATAATGTATTGCTTTTATTATTCATGCTATATTTTTTTTGTTAACTAATTTATTTTTTCAGCAAATTTATTCCCCACAAGCTACCCATCACCTACATCATAGAGATTATCAAGAGCAAGTAGGATGAGTCCTATCTGTTGTGAAAGCAGGCACCTATACCCACTCGAGAAATGTGGTTCAAGGAGTTAGATGTACGATAATGTAATTTAAATCAGATTTGTAAATTTGATTTAAATTTTTTTATATGAACGCATGGATTAATTTTGACGTTGTAAATGTCATTCAACTGAATCCCAGAGCACCAGCATCAGATCTGTCAAATCTTCCCGATTTAATACCGACGTGTTCATGAAAGCTTGTCGGATGGGTGAGTAGCCTACCTAGATTTGTGAGGGGTTTGATATGCCTAAAAATGTACTATTTTTCATGCTATATTTTATGATAATATTGCACTTTAGAGGTTTATTTTATTGTGTTTTTGGTTGTATGTACATCAAATTGAAGAATTTGGAGTGATTGGAGCAAAGGGAATAAAAATGAACCAAAATGGAGCAAACCAGAGCAAATTAGGTCAAATCGGGGCACACCAGACCGATGGGGACCGCAACTGGGCACTTAAGTGCCTGTGCACGGTGCTTAAGCCCCCAAATATGGCACTTAGGTGCCACCAGATAGAGAGGAAGGTGCTTAAGCGCCCCAGAATCAGCGCTTAGGCGCTGGAGACAGTTTTCAACATATATTCTAGAATATACGTCGGATTTGAACGATTTTTGAAGGGGTTCTTCCTGCATCTCTCAGGGAATTCATTAGAAATGATAAAAGGGACTTTCTTGAAGTATTTGGGGTGGTTAGAAGGAGTTTTCAAGAGGCACATGAGACACCTTTTAGAAGATTCATTAAATCTGGACATTTTTTAAGAGACGCTTAAGAATCTCTTAGGAAATTATAAATAAGGCATGGAAATGTTTTTAAAAGAACTCTTGGACTTTTAAAATAATTAGAAGAGGAGGAGAAAGAAGAGGATGAGAAGGCTTGGAGAAGAAGAAGAAGGCTTGGGTGTGAGCCCAAGTGGGGCGACAAAGTGAGAGAGAAAGTGAGAGTGTGAGAATTTATTCTTTTCTTTTCACTTTGTTCTTGAAGAGTTTGTACTTAGAGAGGATTGTAAGGAGATTGCTTTTTCTATACAAGAAGAGTTTGATTTTCATAAAAGATAAGTATTTTCATTGGATTTTGATATGAATCTAGCACTTTGTTTGTTTGGTTTTAAAGTCTTTTTCAATGAGAGGTTCTTGTTGTTTCTCCGTGTGTAGTGAGTAGTTTACTTTACACTTCCCTCTTATAATGAATTAGTATGCATGTGTAGGATATAAAATTGAGTAGAGTGAAAATATTTTGTGATGATTTTACTTTGTTTTTCATTTACATGTAAATTTGATCAACTTGCATGTTAAAATAGCATGTTAAAATAAACTTGCATGTTAAAATATGTTGTGAGAACATATAAGATCTGTGATGGTGTTGTCTCAATCAACTGTGGTAGAATCACATGAGATTGTATGAATGAGAATATAGTTCATATGGTTGAGTGAAAATAAAGAGAAATAATCCTTAATGGATGTAGAATTAGAGGTCTTTAGAGTGACAGACTAAAGCCCCCTGCTCTAGTCTATTGTTTTAGGTTTTGATGCGAGATGTTAGCCTTCAGGTGGAGGGATAAGAGGGAACTCTAGAGTGAGAGCTAGTATCTTCCTTGCTATTCAAACTTTAGATTAACCAATGTTCTTTATAGCATCTCTAGTAAGGGTATATAATATAATTGCTCCTATTTGTCACTATCTCCCTCACTACTTATTTTTCTTTTACACATGTCACTAATTTTATTGCATGAGGAAGAATACTTTTAATATTTTAAACCCCACTTTCTGATTTTCACTGCATTGTAGTGGTAATTGTAGGATATAATCAAAACCAAAAATTTATCGACCTTCCAAGCTAGGGTGTTTTATTTTAGACTAAAATTTCTCTTGAAAGCCACCGTGATTAACCTCTATGTATGTGGGATCGATATTCGGGGCTTAATCAGAAAGCTCTATATTACTTGATAAGGATACGTATACTTGCGTAGAATCCCTACAAATATAATTGAAATCTTACTTTGCTTGGGATCAAGTTTTTGGTGCCACTACCGAGGATTAAAATCTTCAAGTAATGATGTCAACTTCATAAATCCTTACATATAAAAAATATCGGGATCAGGGCTCTGGGGTCAGTTCACCGCAGCTTGGGCATCTCATGATTATGAGAGGAGGAGATTGACGAATCAGGTGAATCGAGCGACAAAGGTGGTTAGGGGAGCTATGCTACACATTGGTGGATCAGTCCCTCATACGAAGCACTACAAGAGGCTGGTAAGATTTTTTTAGATATTGAAACATTAATTCAATTTTTGGAGTATTTTTTTAGTGTTAACCATTTTTGTACATTACACAAAACAAGGAGTTAAGCTGTACTCCCTTTGATGCAGAGCTGCATGTCCGAGCTAATCGAAGCCTGAGGACTGTGCAATGGGTCTCAGAGCATTCTCGACGAGTTGCTGTAAGATAAAAACCTTAAATTAAAAATTTATTTTGACTCTAACTATTGATAGTGTCAATTTAATGCTTATTTTCATTATGTAGGAGGTGTTTGAGAAGCTTTGGGGGAGGCACTTTACCACTCAGTCCCAGACTGACACCAACAACAGAGGTAGTCAGTCTACCACTACACAGTCTGAGTGCTAGCTTTGGACCCCTGTGATAGGGAGGAAGGAGAGGATTTATGGCCTTGGAGTGAAGGGCATCACCTTCAAGGTCAAACTCTCTCATGGTCTCGTTCTTGGTTCACCAAGCTCCTTACAGCCAGACCAGGAGGCTCTTGCAAGGTAGGTGGCTGCAATGAATGAAGAAATCTACAGCTGCGTAAGCATATGCTATAAGGAAAACATAGAGTGAATGACTCCATAGCTTGCTTGGCAGAGGCCTTAGCAGATAGCTCGGACAAACAACCGATGACATCCGTGCACGAGGAGGAGAAGGATGAGGATGGACAAGATGAGTAGTTTTTTTATGTTTTTTTTATTTATAAGCATTATGTTAAACATTTAATTAACTTTATTATTCTTTTTTGGGATGATATGTGACAGTATCTTCCTTTTATTACTGATGTTATTTAGATATTTGATTTGTGATATGACTATGCTTAATGTGATCTATGATGTGGAATGTGTTTTTGTGCACGTTATGAAATTGTAATTGATATTCTCTTTTTTTTTGTTACAGGTTTGCGTTGGATTTGTATCTATTTTCCGATGCAAAATTAGACGCTACATCTACAATAATTATTTATTGTTCTACGATATTTTTTGACATAAATGAGATGGTAATCCAATGCTAAGATTCATCATTGGATATCTTCATATGCAAATTTCGATGCACTTTATGTATAAACAAATCTGACACTAATATGACGTAACAACCAATGCAAATTATTTTCTTTTGAATATTTCAAAGTAAATTAGATGAAAATAAATTACCGACACCTAATTTAGCATCAGAAAAAAATCAGACAAAAATCAGATGCAAATCTGAAACTCACCTTTAATTATCATTAGATTTGAGTCTGATTTGAGTCTAGTCTATCCAACACATATGTTAAATTTTTGAAGTGTTAGCTAACATCAAATATTGACTATACTTCTCCAAATATTTCAAATCCAATATATATAATTAATATATCTCAGCCATTCGAATACAGGATGCTCTTAGTTTTATAATTCACACTTCTACTAGATTATAAATATTTCTAAAACCCACAAACCAATTTTATTTGTACTTTTACATTCTTTAATATCTCTTCACCATAATTTATATCATGTTTTGATGATTAAATTGTAATTCTAGAAAATATCATTCAAATCAAATAAAAAAAATGCAAATATAGGTTTTGATTGTTTTTTTTTATTATATCCCACTAAAGGCCTAAACATCATACTATCTACTCCAACTCATAATATAACATTCTAAATTAACCATTCTTACAAACTCCATCTATATATACTACTATGAATTAGTTATGTAAAAATGAACTTCTAAACTTGCATAAATTAGCTTAAGCTTAACTATTCCTAGCATTTTTTCCACCAAAAATTGAGAACTCCTCATATTTTAACAATATTTGTAGATCACATTTTATCATATTAAGCTAAATTTGCTTGACTGAATTCAACCATTATTCTTAAAGAAAACCATCCACTGCCATCTAAACCATCTTAAAATAACTCGAGGTCTACATTTGAAATTGGTTGTTACATTTTCCATGTTTTTATAGTTTGTTAGCAGCCAACAAAGATTAATTTATAAATTATAATCAGACAGGGTACTTCACATATACCACACCAATATTTTTTGTATTGATAAGTTCGTGATAGTTGATGACAGTTTTTTGTCATTAAAGTTAAAAAAGCTTCCCCATTCACACACATATAATAAACCTAAAATGAATGCTAGATTTCTTCATGATAAATTAAAAAAAAAAAGAAAGAAAGTATTATATGATTGGATAGAGCTAAAATGATCAAGTATGTAAGGTAACAAAATCTCACTTTTCATTTCAATTGGGAAATATAGATTTCTCTCTTGTCATTTGATGTCTTATGTATGGCTTATGGAAATGCATGTATCATTTATCTAATACAATATTTGAATCAAAGATGATTTTTTTATGAGGATCAAGATCAAATTACTATATCAAGTTAATTACAACTCCTACTTAAAATTAAATTTTTATGTAGTTGCCAAGAATTTTTTTAGAATTTTTATTAGAAAATAAAAAATAATAATTATTTTTTGAATCTTTGAATCTAAGAAAGTTTCATTAAACTAATGAATACTTAGATCTAGTGTAATCTATACTAGATTTTCCAATACATGTGGTAAATATAGAGCATAATTACTCAATCTTTGATGGTACTTAAAAGCCATCGAGGTTTCATAACATAATTAAAATAGGTTAAATCATGCAAAAATCTCTAAAACTTGACTTTCCTCCTTATATTACAATTATTTAGAAAAAAATATTCTTGTGTTTGTAGAGAAATTAGATGTTAACCCACTGTTCCACTAGTTTTGTATCAAACATATTAAAACACAACTTATTTATTAGACGCTTACTTGGGTCTACTCTTCAAGTGAGTAACAACTATTCTGTGATGTCATGGTGTTGCAACACCATGTTGTTGCATTCAATAATGGCGTTGCAATGCTGAGATGTTGATTTGTTGTCTTTATTTCTCTCTTATGATGACGCTTTGGTGATGAGAATGTAGCACTATGGTGCTTTGATGATGAAGCCTTGACACTATAAACTAGCACTATGATGTCATGCTCTCAATTTTGTCTTAAGTTTGTGGCATCTGGTACTACCAGTGCTATTTGTCTTACAACACACTGCTGCAAGTGTTTTTGATTTTTTCTTTCAAAATTGTTGACATGCTAATTTTTTACGGAATAATTGAATAAAATGCCATAGAAGCATAATAAAGTAGTACTTTTATAAAAGATAACTCGATCGTTATGCCATTTTAAAGACTTAAAATCATCCACAAATATGAGGAATATATTTGCCTATTTTTCTCAAAATTGATTAAATCATTTTTAATTGAAATTGTTGACTAGAAAGTTAACTAAAAGCTATGAATGAATAAAATGGTTTCAATATATATATATATATATATATATATATATATATAT